CGGCTCCGAGTCAAAATAATAAATCCACGTAGGATGGCATGTCTTCCTGCGAACTATAGCATCGCGAACTAGCACGTCCGGCTCAGTGTATCGATTTAATACAAAGCAGGTTAATAATTCAACTTAAAAAAATATGTAATCGTCCTGAATATGCATTTAATTTGCCACTGGACATTAAACAGCCATCATTTGTTATTACCGCAGGCACAACCTTGCATAAAAGAGTGATTTTGCGGTCGTATAATGGTATTACGTTTGTCGTCGTCTTCCGAAGACATTTGGTTTCCAAATAATAACTTGAGTATACATTTAAGTGTATGGATCTCTATGAAATTGTACCACAAGGTTTTGTACCACAAAAGGAAGGTTGGAATTGATTTTGAGTGTTATTGTCCCATCTTTGTAGGAATTAAGGACGAATAACAAGCGTGTTTCTTGTTTCAGGACAATAACTTAATTATAAGTGTATGAAGCTCTATGAATTTGTACCACATGGTTCCATACTTCATGAGGAGAGGAATGTTGTGACTGATTTTGGGGGTTATGACCCAAAACGTTCAAGAATTACGGACTAAAAAATTAGGATTTTCTGGTTTCCGGACAATAAATTAAGTATAAGTCTAAAATGAATCGTTTTAGGAAAAAGGGCTCTTTCCATACTTGCCCATTTCTTGACCAATTTCAATGGGGTTTAATTCAAAGTCTTAAATTCTTGGGTTTTTTTATATGCATAATCTAGCCGTGTATTAATAGATTCTTTTTTTTTTTTGGTCCGTTTTCAATTTGGTCCACATGAAGGTCCAAAGGGTCCAAAATTAAACTTTGCTTGATTTTAACAAAAAAAAAAGAGATTATTAAGGTTCTTTGCTATGGTGATTCTAACCGTGTAATTTGATTTTTGATTTTGGACTCGGTTTTCTAATTGGCCCACAGTAATGTCCAACGCGTTCATAATCAATTTTAGTTTGATTTAAAAAAAATTGAATTCAAGGGGTCTTTTAATTGCTTAATCTACACCTGTATTTGTATTTTGGGTATTGGATCATGATAGGTAAATATCCAATTTCATTTTTTAAGTTTTTAGACCACATTCATTCTGTGTCGGAAACCAATGATATGTCATATATTTGATCACAATCAAAATTCAGAGTTGTATTGCACACTTAATAGAAAGTGTAAGTAGATTAACAGTTAAAAATAGATACCGCATTAAATTTTAATTTTATATAAGAAATTATGTATAAGTATAGTTTAATATTTTCTTTTCAATATTAGATCCTTTTAAAAAATAATTAAAGGTACTAAGTTGTATGGATTTTTTCAAACGATATTGTATTAATGATGAATGATATTTTGTGAATTGTCTTTTTGACAAACATGAGACATTGTACAGTAAATAACGTGACAGATATTATAATAGACAAATGAAAATAGCATTAATAACAAAACAAAAAATTCATTAAAAGTACTCTTGAGTATTTTTTTCCCTTCCTTCCTTATAACTATTATTATTTATATGTCCAGCAGTGCACAAATAAAAAAAATAAATAAAATTAAAATTAAAAATTAAAGAAAAAAAATAATAATAAAGTTTGAAATACTTAAGTTATTATCTTTAAAGATGGAAAAAATTTTCATCTGCAGGAGACACCAAGGGACGGTTCTCTAGGATATACTGTTGATTGCGATAGGCAATAACATCAATCCTCCCCGTGTCAGAAGCAGATGAACAAAATAAATAGAGAAACTGAATCCAGTCAATTAACAAATAATATTTAAAATAACAACAAAAATTATTGCTAATTATGCGAAACATGTCATATAAATCTGCTATTTGCAGTGTTTCACCAAGGTGACCGACACCGGCTCTTTAGAGCCTCTATTTAAAAGTATACCAATCTTTAACTAAATTCTAAGTACACGTATCGCAACCCAATGTATGTTCTCTAAGGTTCTAACAGTTTAATGGGTAATTCTTAAACAGATTACAAAACAATATACGCCTAAAGAGTCTGCAGATAGTCCAAACCGGAAAATTTTGGAAAGATTTTGGCAACGTTTAAGTATTTATCGAATATACAAAAATAAAATATTTAACCAAACCACAACTCTACAAAATAGATATAAACATAGTGAAGCTATTATATGTATTGTCTTTCGGATATAAATTATTTCATTTTGGTTAGCGTCGCCTGCCGATGTAAAAGTCAAAAACATTTAAAAAAGGGTAGAGCCGATCACCCCTTAATTTATTTCAAACCAGGGCCATTTACAAAAAGTCTTTCAATCTTAAAGTTTACTTAGGGTTTTACAATAATTATATTATTATTATGATCGCTAAATTTTAAACGTACCACCGACTTATAAACGCCTAAAGCAAATTTATGCTTTTTAGTATTTATTCCTAAAACGAATAAGAAGGTCATCATTAACCAAAACAAAAATTGTGTTAGAAGTAAAGCTATAATTGTATTGTCTTTCGGACATCAATTCATTTTGCCTATCAACGGCCTTCGATGCAAAATTTTACAAAAACATGTAAAAGCAAATTTGTATCTTCAACAGCATGCATGCAACATGTAACGCTGAGTATAGCATTTTGAGTTTATGGAAATTTATGTGTAAAATTGTTAAAAAAGAATTGAGAATTGAAATTGGGAATGTGTCCGACCAATGAGTCAAAAACAAACCAAGGCCACCAATTGGTTTTCAACACAGCGAGAAAATCCCGCACCCGGAGGCGGGCTTCAGCTTGCACATACACAAAAATGTGTACTAGTTCAGTGAATATGCGTCACACTAACTGCGAAACATATAAATGAACTTAAATTCAAAAAAGATATTCTAAAATATACAATTTAAACTTTTTAATATTACATTTCAAGTATGATAAATGTACGAAAAACACATGTTGGGCCCTGTGAGTGAAAAAAAAAGATATTGAGAACTAGGCTCTAACCCTTGGCAATTTTGTATTACAATGCCTTCAACAGAAACATATAGCACTTAGTATAGTATTTTGATTTCAGGGGAATATGCAAAACATTGTTACAATATATAACGTCATCTTCAATTTTCAATGTGCAGACCAATTTTAGATTCTGACCCTATGAGTGAAATTTATAAGTCCAGGGAAAATTGGCCTCGTCGCTTTCAAAGACCCCCCTTTTTTTCCCTAAAAATTGGAGGAAAGCCAAATGTTTATCAAGTGCCTGTGCTTTTGGCTATTTCTGTGGTTGACCTTACCTGCTGCCAACAAATAGGTTTCGATGCTTTACTGCTTGAAAAAAAAATGGTTACACAAGTTCACGGTTATGAATGATTATCAAAATATCTTTATTGCAATCACGCAAAGTTGAAACCAACAAAATAAACCACCAATTACTGAGGCAAAATAATAAGAAACTGATCAAACTCAATAAGTCTCACAACCTTATGTTTTGTGATTTACGAAGTCGTAGCAATTTTATCACATATTTTATATTTTGATATAAATCAAGTAAGGCGAGAAGTACAATAATGTGCCGAGCATCGTGATAGACATCTTCTTTTGGACTGCTTCCTAGTGACTCATAAGATGGCCTACTAAACGACGACTTGGATTGGGACCTTTTTTTTTAAAATAATCTAAATAACGTATACATATTACCGTCTTGAATGTTCGTGTAATATGTCTAATATTGGCTGATTGGCCTCAGTCATCATGCAATTCTAATAATCTTACATAACCAACCTTTCAAACTTAAAAGTAAAGATCATGCATCCTTATTGTTCAGATTGATAATATCTTTTCCATTCGTCGACATTATCTCCGAATTAAAAAATACTATTGATCTGGATAACCGCTGTGCATACTTTAATGACAGGGCTAGTTTTCCTATTCGATAAGTAGTAACCTCCCTTGTTAATGTGATGTTGTAATTATTCGTTTAATTTTCACCATCTATATAATATTTCATTGTATTAATCAAATTTGTGATTCATTTTATATTTAAATATAATAATTTTATATTTTTTTGTAGATAAAAACAAGGAAATTTGAAAGTCTTTGATTCATTAATCACCTTTCAAATCATAAGTCAGGCGGTCTATTCTGTCTACATTAAATTGTAAATACACCGGGTTATCAATGGCTATCAAAAAGGAAAGGAAAACATTGTATAACGTAAAACGAGAATTAAATAGAGCAAAATGCAGAAATCGAACGCAAATGTTGATTCTTTTCTTGTTTAGAGAAATCAAAAACGAAAAACAAAAACACTTATGATATTCATTTTGGTTTTTGAAAAATCAAAAACGAAAAATGAAAAGACTTCCGTTTTCCGTTTTGGTTTTCGAGAAATCAAAAATGAAAAATGAAAACACTTTTGTTTTTCATTTTGGTTTTTACGAAATCAAAAACGAAAAATGAAAACACTTTCGTTTTTTGTTTTTTTGTTTTTATATTTCAAAACGAAAAACGAATGGACGCAAATATACACGGACCATGCTCTCTCTCCTTTTTGAAAATTCTGATGAAAATCCAAGACTTGCATCTGCCAATATTGAACACCTATCTATAGTTAATTGATAAAATCTGATCTACTTGACAAATCTTATCAAAGATCCAATTTAATTACAACATAATGAGATATTTTTGTAACAATATCTACTAAAATACAGCTTGAGTTTCTTAACTTTTTTGTTAGATTTCATAGCTTAACTCCTATCGAGTTACTCCAAGTTACATTTTCCGCTTTTCTCATATCGTATTTGAAGACCAAATCATGCTTGTAACTTATAGACACGTTTATAAAAAGTTCTTGAAAAGGGATTCGTCTTATTGCAAATTAACATCCTTTAACCAACAGTAGATGTTCAATTGAAAATATTACATATGCAATTCTACTTTAAACGGAAAATAACCAGATTTATTTATGTTAAAAGGTAAAATTTAACACAAAAATTTATTAGTTTACGATAATTGCTGAATAAACGTTTTATATCATTCTTTTTTTAAGGTTCAACAGGTAAGTGGAAGTACAACCAGATACAAGCTGTTATCACTGTCGGGCAATAAAGGGGATTCGTGGTTGGAACAAAAGTTATCGATTACGTCACAATCAACTTTCCGTATTATATTATCAGGTGAAATAGGCGGTGATACAAGTGATATCGCAGTTGACGATATAAGGATAACTTCAGGACAATGCAAATAGATGAAATAATATTATCGATGAATAAATTTTAAAGGATAGTAGTTTTTAATTTTTTGTCTTTTAAGGTTAAATGCTATTGATATTTTTTCGAAAATACTAGCAAGATGCCCGGAAAAGCCTACCTGTCGAACTACTGGTAACCTTGCCTACAGCAGTTTATTTTTTTTTAAATTGTCATTATTAAAGTCTGAAATTTATTATGTACATGCATTAGTTTTGCTGAATATGGAGATTTCAGTTTTGTATCATTATCTCTATTTTTTTATTTTTCGTAATTGTCTCTTGTCTTCTCGATCTTAACCATAACTATTGACGTAAATTAAGACTACGAAATTGGAGATTGCAGACACCCTGCTATTGGTTTGTTGTCTTGAAAATTTGTTATATTTTCAATGAGAACACGATAGGAGGAATAGGTTCTATTTATTAAACTGTATTATCCAACTAGTTAATAAGAGACAATAGAAAGCAACCATGTTAAAATACTGGTTGTGTCTCTTGCTATACATGATCACCCACCATCTAATCAATGCTCTTAAATGACTCTAAAGGTAAAAGGACACAATTGACACAGATCAGACGGCTATTGGTATTGTGGTGCCTTAAGACTTAGGACCGCTGAAGCATATGTGTCATGAATTGAGATACTAACCCATCGTATCGGATAATAACATAAACGGTACCAATTTTTCTGCACCAGATGCGCATTTCGACAATCAATGTCTCTTCAGTGATGCTCGAGGTCAAAATATTTGCTTAAAAAGCTTATTAAAAAGATGAAGCGCTATAAGCCAAAAAGGACAAAAAAGTATAGCCAAAGCCGGGCAGGGAATCAGAGCTTTGCATGATGGAGATACATTCCTTAATTTTAAATAATTTCAAACATTTTGTAACAGGAAATTTCAATAACACTAAATCTGTATTTTCATGAAAGTACCGAAGTACTGGCTACTGGGCTGGTGATACCCTCGGGGACTTTCAGTCCACCAGCAGAGGCATCGACCCAGTGGTAGTAATAACATAAACGGTACCAATTTTTCTGCACCAGATGCGCATTTCGACAACCCGTTCGTGATGGTGGCTGTATAGTTTTCGTAGCGTCGATTTTGACCGAGCTTTCTTATAACCTAACCGAATAGTTACGTCCTTCCCGGTGATCTACTCTCTCACTGGCGAGGGCACGAACTCTTTATACTATAAAAACGCGTCCCTAATACATAATTTTGATTGGTAACGAGAGAGCCAATCAACTGATAGCTTAATGTCATCGAAACCGAATGATTAATTTACGGTTTGTCATTCCCTAGGCTTTTAGGAGTTAATGTAGCCATATAAGAGCAGCGGAATATAACGACTGAATTATTTGAGTTATTTTTAACGCTGCTGGATTAGTATTGATATGCGTTTAGTAAATCTAATTGACAGGATGATGTGTTATATCTATTGTTGTCAGTTAAGGTTCCGCCTAGTTTCAATGAATGTTGGTGTATAATCAATAGCTTGTTCAATATTTAAGTTAATTTGACAATAAAGCCGACTTTAATTTAGCAAGCTGTATTATTAGGTGTAAACCCAGGATTTTGATAAAAAAAAAGGAGGCCTTGCAAGCCAACGTTTGGCATAATACTTGCATATATCCTATGCATTTATCATATATGGAGCTCCATAAGGGGACCTTGGAACTCTCCTAAATCCGCCTCTGATTATTATTAGAATAAATGTATTATAATTAAAATAAATGTAATATCTCAGGCTGACGAAACTTAATGTTGTTGACATGGTAGTGGTTCCTTACAAATACATTTATAGATATTTTAACAATTACAGATTACAGATCAATTACTGTTAAATATGTCGGAAGTACTCTGGAGTATTTTATTCAGGTACAAACAGACAAACGTGGAAATGGAAGTTGTCGAAATCGCATTAATAGCTAGCGATGTGATACTATTATGAATGTATTAATCATCAATTTAAAATGTATATCCAGTACAGGGTCAACAATAGATTCAAAAGGAGCCATATGTAGCCTATTTAAGGATACATTAAAAACAAAGGACTGAACAGAATGTGATCAAGATTAGCATTTAACCCGTGAAATTTAATTCAATATCAAAATTGCAAAAAATACAATGAAATACAATGAAATACATAAGCTGTTCTAATACATACAAATAAAATTGAGAATGGAAATGGGGAATGTGTCAAAGAGACAACAACTCGACCATAGAGCAGACAACAGCCGAAGGCCACCAATGGGTCTTCAATGCAGCGAGAAACTCCCGCACCCGGAGGCGTCCTTCAGCTGGCCCCTAAACAAATATGTATACTAGTTCAGTGATAATGGACGTCATACTAAACTCCAAATTATACACAAGAAACTAAAATTAAAAATGATACAAGACTAACAAAGGCCAGAGGCTCCTGACTTGGGACAGGCGCAAAAATGCGGCGGGGTTATACATGTTTTTTGAGATCTCAACCCTCACATTACAACACACAATACAATAATATGTAATTATTTGTCTATGGCACCAGATATAATACTGGTAATGTATATCAGTACACTATTTTGAAAATAAAAACTTCGGTTTAAAAATGTAATGAACTTCTCCAGTAGGTCGGGCTTAAAATGGCTGTCAAATTTATGGAAATATGATTAGTTTGTAAAACAACGGATTCAATTTATTATTGGTTATGTACAAAAAATTGAAAAAAAATATACATGTCTTCCATTGTACGGTAAACAGTCACGGTATCTTTTATAATGTTATTATTCAGATATAAGGAAATTTAGCCTTCCGTTTTCGTAAGAATCGTTATATTTTGTCAAATAAGTCATTATGTAGTTTCACAACTGTAGACACACTTGAAACTTTGATTAATTCTTCCTTCGTTTAAATTATCCAAAGTATTCGAAAGTTTGGGCTTTAGGCACTCTCTTTGTAAGAGCAAATTAGTTGTTTTGCTCAAGTACAGAAGACGCTCTTTGGGGGGATCGCCTTTCTTATGCTACTCCTTTTTTATTTAATAAAATGTGCTTTAAAGTTTTTATATCTTTATTTCATTTATCAAAATATACTTCTGATGTATTTGATATTAGCTTGCAAGAGCCAAAAAAAAATGAGATTGCAACAATACTAGAAATACCTAATCATGATTTTTGATATCACGTAAATGATTTTTTACTGCTTTTACGTTTTTTTCTATAGCGAATGCAACATTGTCTAGTACATTTGAACGGTGTTTACAAAACTCAAAACATGCGGATTTTGAATTGCCACATAGCTTAGGCATTGGTTTAGATCTTTTTGTTCTGGTCAACCATTCAGGTCTGCATCCCCGGAAATGATGAATAGAAGCAATGCTGGAAGGACAAAACAACCTAAAAAATAAAGTAACACAATTTGAAATTCTTCTTGAATCTGACTCATAGTAAACGATGCTAATTTACGTCCAAAAGAGACGTGTTTTAGAGGATAACATTCATCGGGAGCTATATAAACTTATGGAGAAAAAAAGTATTAACAAAAATTCCGAACTCCAATGTTATTAAAAAAGGGGGAAGCCCGGAAAACCGGACAAAACCAAATGCTCGACTATATCAACCAACGGAACGAATGGAAAACAACTGTCATATTCCTGACTTATTACAGGCATTTTAAGAAGAAAATAGTGAGTTAATATAGCTAAACCACCCACTTGAATGAGAGTTGTTTACAGTTCCGTCATATGAATGTAAATAGATCAGGAAAACCGTCGGAAGTTTACTTTGCCTTAGGAAGATAGAAATCAAGTTTATTTTCACTAAATAGTTCATAAGCTGAAAAAATATAGTTCAATGTATCTTTTAAATGAGGCAGAACCAACGCACTACTCAGTGCTAAAAGTAGAATGCAATATCGATCAGATAGATTCAAGTTATCGTGAATGTGACCTACCGAATTAGACTCATTACCGGGTTTGTACTGATATCTGATATGAACAACACGACGGGTGCCACATGTGGAGCAGGATCTGCTTACCCTTCCAGAGCACCTGAGATCACCCCCAGTTTTGGTGGGGTTCGTGTTGCTCATTCTTTAGTTTTCTATGTTGTGTTTTGTGTAATATTGTTTGTCTGTTTGTCTTTTTCTTTTTTAGCCATGGCGTTGTCAGTTTATTTTCGACTTATGAGTTTGATTGTCCCTTTTGTATCTTTCTCCTCCCTTTTAAGGTAATTACAAACAGGTTTGCCTGCTGACTGGTTTCTGTGTGGATGTTACCCAAAGGGACTGATATTTCACCGACAAATATACATACAAAGTGGTTGTAATTTCCAAATATAAGTCCGAATAGTTAATTTTGCATTGCCATTAATATGAAAATAAGGAGATGTGGTATGATTGCCAATGAGACAAATATCCACCAAAGTTCCAATGAAGTGGATGTAACCAAATATAGGCAACCGTACGGCCTTCAACAATGAGAAAACCCCATTAGGCATAGTCGGCTATAAAAAGGCCCCGACATGAAAATTATGAAACAATTCAATTGAGAAAACACAACTAACGGTCTAATAGATGACAAAACAATTTACGAAAAACAAATACATTTTGTATGACAGACATGAACCAACGACTACCACTGAACTACAGGCTCCTGACTTGGGACAGGCATATAAAGAATGTGGCGGGGTTAAACATTTTTGTGAGCGCTCAACCCTCTCCTTAACTTGGGACAGTGATGTTACAGCACAACATAAGAACAAGCTATAAAAATCAGTTGAAACAGATCGATACAAAGCAGACAAACATCTAAAAATAAAAGAAGAATGTGTCTGAGCCTCTGAGGGCACGAATGCCCTGCTCAAGCTTTCTTTTCAAACGAAAATGGGACGGACGGAAAGACAAAAGAACGGACGGTCAAGGGTAACACGTAATAACGGGCATAAAAATAAAAGCACAGATCGGACGTGGAATGGTGTCCATACATCTCTAACAACCAAAAAATACCCAAAGTACAGATCTGAGAATACTCGCAGTTACTAGCAGCAAGTTCAAA